AAAAAAAAAAGAAGTTAGCAAAAGACGAACAATTATAACAATGTTTAATTGTTTAATGACTACATTTTATAAAGCGAAAGAAGAAAAAATGTTGGTTGATAAATAAAGTAAATATTTTGGAAAAAGTTGAAAAAATTTTCCAGCAAACACTATATGCTCGATAAAGTAAAAAACTTTTGTTTGACGTATAATTTTATTCAAGTTTCCTTTTTTGCGTTTCTTAGATGGTATTTACAGTCGCCTAAAGAAATTGTTCTGTTTTTTTCTTCACAGATTCTTTCATAAATAAAGAAAACTTGGAAAAAGAACCAAGCAAAAACAAAGAAAAATAAGTGCTTATCTTACAAGCCTATAAAATTAGTGAATTGATAACTGTTGATTATTACTTCTACTAAAGTGTTTTCAATCTTTTTGACAGCTGATGTTTCATAAATTCGTCTTACATCTGCCATATAACTTTTTAAAAATCTTCTGACCAAAAAGGAAGACATTACCTTCAGCTGCACTCTTGAAAACTGTGCGACGGCTTGACCCCTATAATCAGTGAAAGTATCTGGTCTTTGTAATTTGCAGATAATTATTGTAGAGGAAAGTCCCAAATGTTGACTGTAAAAGTAATAGACTTTAGCAAAACTTATCTTTTCTTATAAATAAATTAGCTTAATTTTGTCCAATTTCATATCACCTTTATTATTCTTTTTCGGCAATTGACCAATTCTCTTCAATCCTTTGAACAAACATGCCTTCTGAAAAGCATATTGGAAGTTCATGACAAGTTACAAGCTACCAGGAAATTTCATTGGTAATCTGGTCAAACAGTATCATTAAAATGAGGAATTATAAAGCAAATCTTTTTCAGTCATATTACAAGAAGAATCTTCATCAAATATGAACACAAAAACGAAAGTAATTTCTCTGAAACACCGATATCATGATTAACTTTTAATACACGTTCCTCCACTTGTTTACATGCGGAATCTGTGAAAATAGAATTCTGAACCTCAAAACTCTTTAAGTACAAGTTTGGTAAAAGAAACTGTCCTGCTAAGTGTTGGAAAAATAATGAAAGAAAACAATATAAACCATAAAGGCATATTTTACTTTTCTTTAAGTCACTAGAGGATCTAAAAGGCCTGAATCAGTCAGTTTTGTGCTTCAGCAACGTTCTTTGCTAATTAATCTTAGTGAGTGGCAGGTCAATGTGAAGACA